TTGATAACAATTATAAGATTTTTAGCCAAAATAATATTATTCAAGCTTCAAGATTTACCACATAGAGGTTACAACTCTTCCTGCCATCCTATGAGTAAAATATTCAGATTTACATAATGTTATTTTTGGCTCATATCTTAATCGGACCTTTTTTAAAAAATTTGGACTTTTTTTTAATATATAACAAAAATAATTAATAATTTAAAAAATCACTTTGTAAAATAATAATTTTTTTTTCATTTTACTTAATTTAAGCCACATTTCTTCCAAGTTTATTACTTATTTTGATAATAAAATATATTTTGAAGAGATTAAAATAATATAATTTATAATTCGTCAAAAATTCCTTTATAAAATGTAATATATTCATCGATTCGTGTTTTTAAATTTAATGTTCAAATATTATTCATAATTATTCACATAAATATGTTGCACAAAAATACCGCATTATTCACATTAAATAAAAATACATCGAATAAAAAAGATACATCAACATAGAATTTACTATAATAATTATTATTTTTTTTTTATTATACAATTTTTATATAGATTTTAATTTACAATGATATTTTTAATATATATTTTTAAATTTAAATATAAATAAGAGTGATTATACTTTCTTTTATAATGTTGTGATGAAATATATTATTATATTAATTTATATTATATCATTTTAGAATATAGGATAAGGTTACCGAAAAATTAATAAATATTTATAAACATCAAAAAAAAAAAATTTATAAAAATCATTTAAATGCTAAATTTAGTTGTTTTTTTAAATTACCCATTATTTATTAAAAGAATTTATATTATTTTTATCATCTAAAGTCGATTTTTTTTAATTTATTTAGTTGGGGAAATGTGTCATAAATGGCCATGTGTGAAGACTGGCCACCACTCTTTAACCTTTTATCTATTGGACCTATTTCTCTGAAAATTGTTTAAAATGGTGTTTATTTATGATAAGTTATAATACCTAAGTTCATTTAATGAATAGAGCAATCCAATAAAAAGACTATTTTAAATAAACTTGTTTTTATTAACTCTTTCTGAAAAAAATCAAGTTACACATTTTGTTTAGTGAAAAAAAAATTTACTAATTTAGATTACTGCTATTTTATATAAATATTTTGTCCAAGATTCAAAAAAAAACATGTCTATTTTTTAATTGTTTAGTTCTCAACAACTCATAAAATACATCTCATTTCTCATAAAACTCTAGTTTTAAATTTTAATAACTGTTGCCCCCAAAATAGGCACAATAATTATATCTTTATATTTTAATTTTTGTTCGAATGTATACAAATTTTTAGAGGTTTATTGGTAAAATATTGAACAGATCATACTAAAACTTGAATATTATTAACAAAAAAATAGAGATTTCTAAGATGTGAATATGAATTCAAAATTTTTTAAAATTATTTATATATAATTTTTAAATTTTATGGTTCGATTTGTAGTTAACGGATAGATATTGTCATTTGAAGGTAACGTAAAAAAAAGTATAATCCGATATATTTAGATATCATTTATATAATATAAAAGAAAAATTCTTATCAGTATTAAAAATAATTGTATTTAAAAAAATGATTTAATTCTACTTTGTATATGTTCTGAAAGTACTTCTTAGGTTGATAAAAAATGAAAATTGATAAGAATAAAAATAAAAACTCCTTCATTTGGCGGAAATAATATACCCACAATAATTTAATGTTTGAAAAATTCTACACATAAATTTTACAGAGAATCATTCTCCATAAAGAGACCAATGCGTGACAAAAAGATATTTAACGAAAATTTATCAAATTATAAAATGGTACCCTACAAAAGACATCAATTTTATTACAAAAATTTAAATTCTTAACTTTTTACCTTATTATAAATGCTATCAAAAAATTTGGATTAATTATATTTTTTGTGTGTGTTTGTTCTTTTAATTTCTGATATCTTTGGTATAAAAAGAACTTTTTGCCCAATTTTAACCAAAAAAATCTGTTTATGGCTCTCACGGTTTTCGTAAGTTAAAAAAAAATCTCTTCTCTTCTCTTAATAATTCCCAATAATCAATTTTAAAAATGAAATAAATTGGGTTTTTTTCTGATTTAAATATAATTTATGAAGATGAAAAAAATTATACTTTGTCTAGTTATATTTTCCCACAACTCCGTCACTTTAAAGTTTATATTAAGTAGATAAAGATATTACGTATAATAAGATAATAAATAAAAGATTTATTCGATTAGAGGGAATTAAGAAAGAAAGAGAGAAAGAAAGAAAGAAAGAAAGAAAGAAAGAAAGAAAGAAAGAAAGAAAGAAAGAAAGAAAGAAAGAAAGAAAGAAAGAAAGAAAGAAAGAAAGAAAGAAAGAAAGAAAGAAAGAAAGAAAGAAAGAAAGAAAGAAAGAAAGAAAGAAAGAAAGAAAGAAAGAAAGAGAGAGAAAGAAAGAAAGAAAGAAAGAAAGAAAGAAAGAAAGAAAGAAAGAAAGAAAGAAAGAAAGAAAGAAAGAAAGAAAGAAAGAAACGAATCCCATATGACATTATATAAGAAATAATCATAATATTTTAAGATATTTATATTATAATTTTTGAAAAAAAATATTTTTTTTTTCGGTATACTTATTTTGTGCCTTTTTATTTTCGAGTCCATTACTAAAAGTTGATATAAAAAAAAAATTTTAAATAATTGAGTAAGAATAAAATGACATGCTAATAATTTTTGAAATAATATTATTTAATTAAATCTCCAGTTTCTAATTTTAAATTAGAATTTTGTGCCCTCAAAAAGACATCCAGCATTTAATATTTAGTGGATATCTTGTGCAGTGTCTCTTTTTTTGTTACTAAGGTATCTTTAGTACTTAAAAAATAAATCATTGAAGTTTAACTCTAAATTTTGCAAGATAGGATTATTTTAGCTGTACAAGAAATGGCAGAACGATTGATCATCTACATATATTTCATTAATTATGTTAATGTTATTTTTGATAATTTAAACACAATTGTATTTATAAATGAAGAATAAAGATTTCGAGATAGATGTTTGTGTTAAGCTAAGTAAATGATGATGAGGGGTAAAAATTAGGGAAGTTTCCGAAATTGGGGACTTGACCACTTAACCTATCTTAATCTTAAAACAAAATTCATAATCTTGTTGATAATTCTTTTTATAATGAATAAGGATATTTAAATCTGGGATTAAGAAAAAATAGGAAGGAAGATGTCTTATTTAGGTTTCTACAGACTTTCATAAGTTAAAAAAAATACTAAACTTATAGTTCACCACAATTATAAATAAATGTTTTTAGCATTTCTCAGAGAATTTAACCTGTATTTATTTTTAAAGTGTAAATGTAATCAATAACCCTTTCAGATTTCGTCAATAAATTTATATTATATAAAAGAAAAGAAAAGAAAAGAAAAGAAAAGAAAAGAAAAGAAAAGAAAAGAAAAGAAAAGAAAAGAAAAGAAAGAAAAGAAAAGAAAAGAAAAGAAAAGAAAAGAAAAGAAAAGAAAAGAAAAGAAAAGAAAAGAAAGAAAAGAAAAGAAAAGAAAAGAAAAGAAAAGAAAAGAAAAGAAAAGAAAAGAAAAGAAAAGAAAAGAAAAGAAAAGAAAAGAAAAGAAAGAAAAGAAAAGAAAAGAAAGAAAAGAAAAGAAAAAGAAAAGAAAAGAAAAGAAAGAAAAGAAAAGAAAAGAAAAGAAAAGAAAAGAAAAGAAAAGAAAAGAAAAGAAAAGAAAAGAAAAGAAAAGAAAGAAAAGAAAAGAAAAGAAAAGAAAAGAAAAGAAAAGAAAAGAGAAAAAAGAAAAATAATGTTTAGGTTTAAAATATTTAATAAAATTCTTAAAAACAAAAATTGTTTCATACTTTCTCTATGCATTTTATCTTTCAATTCCATCACTTTTAAGTGAAAAAAATAAAATTGATAAAGAATAAGATTAAATGGTGAATATTTTTTCTAATTAAAAAAATATTATTCAAAATTCATTCAATTAATTCATATAATATAAATAATTAAAACGAGTTTTTTTTTAAATTTCGAGTATTAAAAATTATATACATGTATAATTGGATATGGAATCCATGGGATTTGGAAAATATCTCTCGAGGACCATTTTAAAATTTTTAGGATTTAGTACTAGCATATATTTGAGCACATATTCCTATAAATATATAACAGACAAATTCTTTGCCAATTTTTTGAATTTTATAAAATTTAGACGCAAAATCCTTATAAAATAAAATCTAATATCAAACTAAACCGCTAATTCTAAAATCCATGGCAAGCTTTATATGTGGATATTCTATACATGCTGAAATGCATTACTGGTTAAATCAGATTTGTAACAAGAATAAAAAATATATAGATATAAAATTAAGAGATTCCTAAACCCCGTAGATTTTGTATCCCAATACGAATAGAAATAAATACTAGACAACACCCTGGAAATAAAACATCAATCTTAAAAAAAACTTGCATGTTTAATTTATTTAAAATTACTCACTTAGTAAAATAAATTCCTAAATTGAAATATATATGTATGGTGCTTTTTATGTTCATGCATATTTTTTTGTATAGTGTTTCCACTTGTTAAGGAAAATTCTGTCCTGCATGACATTATACTACCGGCCTTCATTAGATACTATTGTTCTCAACTAAATGATAGAAATGTCTTCCATTTCTGATAAATTTAGCCTTGTTTGATTTTGAAAAATTAATTAAGGGTATTTTATAACAGTGTCTATTTTTATTTTATTTTTTGCTAGGGTGTGTGATTAATTAAAATAAAATGAAATAAATTAAAATATTAATTTTAATAAATTTAAATAATAATTATAAAATATTATATATAATATTATCTAAAATAAATTATAATATAAATTTAAATAAAATTAAAAATAATTATAATATTTGAATATATGGCGATTTCTACTTATGGCCTTTTATAAAATATATAGCGACTTTTACCAACTTATTTCATTTTTATTTTATATTCAAATTCATATTATTTTATAATGTTATATTTAACTTAAAATTTTAGATATATTTAATATATTGTTTAATTAATCTTTTTATAAATAAACATTAGTAGTTTTCATCTTTGTCTGTCACTGTGTCTTTTTAACACTAGGGCATTTTCTACATTTTTTTTTTCAGGACATCATCTGTTCCAGGATTCCTAAAAAAGATAATATCTACTGTTTTAAGCTATTCTTTACTGACTAATGGTTCTTCTCAAAAAATGTATTCTATTTCTTAATACCTTTAATTTAACCTGTTTTTCAATGAATTTATTTAGCCTTCAGCTTTAAATTAATTTATAGTATATATATATATCAGAGATCTGCAACCATTTACGTGGCCCGGGTCGGGCTTAAAGCCGGGTCGGGCTTAAAGCCGGGTCGGGCTTAAACCCGGGTCGGGCTTAAAGCCGGGTCGGGCTTTAAGCCGGTTCGGGCATAGGACCTATTTGGGCTTATGTGCCGAGTCGGGTTTAGCCTGGCTTGCAGGTCTCTGATATATATATATATATAAATAAGAAAAAGAATGTTAGTATTTAAAAATACTCATAAAATATTTTTTTAAACAAATGTTTTTCATACTTTCTCTATTCATATTTTCGTTCAAATCCATTTCTTAGGGTTAAAAAATTGATAAAAATTAAATGACAAAGGGTTTTAATATATTCAAAGATAAATTGTAGTATTATATAATATGATGTTAACTTTAAATGTTTTTTTTTTCCTGCAATGTCCTATTTTTACAACTTTATATTATATATTTTAGCCAGTCTTATTAAATTTTTTCAAAATTTTTATTTTATCGGAATACCCATCTCATGAATTGTAAGACAATTTTGCTGTTAAACCTTTGAGTTATCATTCATAATTTGTATAAAGAAAAATTATATGGAAAAATTTGATATAAATTTATATTAAATTTAAAAGTTCATGAAATAAAATTATCTGAAATCCATAAGGTAGGTTATTCCAAACATGTGGGCATACATTTTACGGTAAAATCAGATTTTGAAATTTTTTTTAAAAAAACGCGCTTCAAAAAATGTTTTAAAGTTGAAAAAATAACGCATTGCCAGGAAAAAATCACACATATATATAAATCATAATAAAAAAAAATATGAACATATATATATATTACCTATAGTAAAGTTTTTGGCAATGCAACGATGAAACCATATTATGCCCTGACTAAATGGTAAAATATTTACTTCATGTTCCCCTTTCTTTATTTGTCTGATAGACAAGCTACCGCTACTCCCTGAAGTCTACAAATAAAAAATATCTTTAAGATAAACACTTTTAAAAATATTTTCTTAACCAAGAATTCTTGCTTTGATTGATTGGCGATGTCGTGGATTTCTACATAATAACGTTCGGATTTCGAAAACGCGTTCCAATTCAGGAGATAACTTTTTCCTCGATCTTTCTTCAGCTGTATTTCTTGCACCGGTGTACATGGAATCTTTGCTAACGATAAATATATGTTGATATAGCTCAAAGTCGTCGAAATGAACAAAATTTTATCGAATTTATTTGAGGTAGACATTTTTATATAAAAAAAAATTTTTTTTTTGATGATAATGAAAGAAGAATAAATAAATAAAAAAATTAAGAAATTAAAATTAAAAAAAAACAAATATATAATTTTTATCCTTATTTTAAAAAATGTGGAGTGCTTAATTTAATTATCGCCCTTTGGTTTCCCATAAATTTATATTGAAGGGTAGGAGGACAAACCTCTTATATTTGTTGATGTAGTAGTAGTAGTATTATTTTATATCTGATATTAATATTTAGGTAAGTGTTCGTTCAAATCAATATTTTATTAGGAAAATTATTATGCACGTACTTTGTTCGCACAAAGGTTTGAACATCTATTAACAAAATCTCGAGACTTGGACAATATTTTTCTGGCTAAAATACTGAGTTAACCGAACGGGAACGTAATTAAATGTTGGAAATAATTATTCAAAAAAAAAAGGGGGAAAATTATAAAATTATTATAAAAATATTTTTTATTTAACTTAAATATTTTTTTTATGCAAGATCTGCAATTTTTTTTTATAATTATCTAAATTATATAAGTTTGAATAGGATATAATAGTATACTATTTTCATAAGAAAATTTATTTGATCATTATTAAGAAAAAAATACAATTATATTATTATATATTTTTTTTTGTACTTTAACCTTTTACACGTAGATAATTAATAAAAATATGTTTTGAAATACCATATTTTTTGAAGCAACTATAAAAAGTGGAATAAGATGATAATATTTGGAGGTTTTGCTGACATTTAATCTAATTTGAGCGATCATAAAAACTTGTGTTTATTTTTTATTTTTTAAGAATATAAGTCATATAAAATTAACTTGGGGCCATAGCAAAATCACTTTAGGCTTTGGGCGACTTAATGAGGGGGATTGACGCAACAGGGTTTAGCGGAAAGGTTACGATGCGTTTCCGTTATTAAATAGGGGATGGAGCCATCTTGCATACACAGCTAGTATTCAATTTTATAATTAATTTATTTAATATTATAGTAATCATTGGGGGAAAGGTGGGAGGGGGGTCATTAGGTTATTGAAGCGTGGTGGGTTGAGACTGTATATTTAGATTGTATTCCATAGGCGTAGTCAAGGAAGGGATAGGCACTATTAGGTGAGTTTTATCCTATAAATTATGTTATCTTAAGGGTCCACTTAGGTGCAGATATTTTGGATATGTTATATAAATTTTATATTTTAACCTTTTTTTTAAAAAATATTTTCTAAAAATGTATTTTTTTTTCAAAATATTTTTTTTCCATAATTATAAGTCATTTTAAAAAAAAATTATTAGGTTTTTACTTATTTTTCTTTAAAATTCATATTAATTAATGTATTACTACTTGGGGGAGAAAGCGGAGAGTGTAGGGAGGGGAGAGGGAGGGTTACGAGCGGAATTTGTTTATCCGCTAACCTTAAAATGATATTTTAGGGTTAGCGAATTCTTACAAAAAAAAAGGGTTTTTAATTTATAAAGATTTATCATCTCAAAAATCGTACTCCAACATTAAAACATTTGCCTTAAATTTTTTCTTTTGAAAATAGAAGAATTAATAATTATTATTAATTTTTACAAGGTAGGGACTACATACTTGTCTGAAGGTAAAAAGACATTAAACGCTTAAAATTTTCTGGAAATTCAGTCAACGAAGGAGAGTCCCGAATTCGTAAACGCCTTCCCCCTACATTTAGCCATAAATTCAATAAAGTTTTATAAAAAAAAAAGAGCAAGAACGTTAGAATGTTTAATTTATCTTCCATATTTTTTTAATGCCAAAGAGGTTAAAAGTCCTGTCCCATAGTCGAGCGCATATTTTTTAGAAATTTTTGAAGAGTTCGTATTAGGAACAGAATTGAAAGGAATAAAATAGTTGTTGTAATAGCAGTGTACATTCCAGATTCAACTATTATTTTTTCTTTAATTGATTTATGTATTTCAATGCTGATGAGAGAGTAGTAGAAAATTAATATATAAGATGTAAAAGAATCAATTTACCTCAATCAGTTAAAATATACTTTTTACCTCAATCAGTTAAAATATACTTTTTACAAATCAATATAAATACATCAATTAATTAACATACAAACAATGTATTTGTATACAATTTATAATATTATTAATTGCCTTTTGAGGTTAATAGATTCTATTACAATATATACGTTTGATCACATTACGATGTAGATTGGTACTTGTAAGTTGACAGTATTACAATCAATTCATATTTTAAAAGGCCTAACTAAATAATATAAAAAATTTTTTAAAAAATAAGTGCTAATTTTTGAAAATTTGGGTGCTAAACATTTTACAAATGGGTAATAATATTTGAAAAATGCTAACTGATGTTTATTTTTCAAAAGGTGGTGCTGAAACTTCCAAAAAAGTTTATTGCTAAACGACAGGTACTAATATTGTGTTGGCTGATATCACTAAGAAATAAACATTTACATAAATTTTTTGATAGTTTTTTTTTTACATATGATTTATATGTCACTAAATTATTTATATTTTTCTTAAAGAATTGTACAAACCATTTCCATTGCATCACCAAATTCTACTAAATCTCCTTTCGAAATCCCTTATTCCAAAACTAAATTCTCAAATGAATCCTTCACATCCTTCAACGACAAGCTTATTTTAGATCTCTGCTTAGCGTAATAACCTAGTCCTGATTTAGGTTCTATTAAATTATCTCAGAATACATCTTTCTCTTCTTCACCAAACCGATAGGTTAGACTAATAAATATTTAATCTATGATTATTCACACCTTTTTAGTAACTAAGAGAACTTACTTTTTCACAAGAAGAACATCAACATCAGTGATTCCATCATCGCTGCCTTGTCAACTTTGCATTTGTTATACCAATAGTTCTCTTGCACCTTGTTTTCATCTAATTTCTGGTATGCAACATACATCTACCCTCCTTCTGAACTCAATTACTTTTCCCGCTCTTCTTGTCATGCTTTCAGCATCTCACATAACAAACTTTACATTGTCTCTATCAAAGATCAACAAGCTAATGAGATAATGATATGATGTAGCTAATGAGATAATGATAAAGCTAATGAGATGATGATGATCAAGCTAATGATTTGACGATTAGGAAAACAAGCTAGCGATTCAAAAAAAAACCAACGAAAAATATAATAGGTTTAGGTCACAACAACAATGGTAAAAACGTTAAACAACGAATTGGACAAAACTTAACGATAACCGCTCGCGTCAAATACAGCGAGCGGCATTAAAAAAAAATAAGTGTGGAATGTTATTATGCTGAAAATATTTATTATATTCAAATATTGTTTAATTATATATTTCGCTAGTAGATGTTCAAACCTTTGTGCCACCTATGATTAAAATCTTAAGACTTGCATTATATTTTTCCTAAAAAAATATTGAGTTTGCTGTTTTTAAAAATCGGCTCAAAATTATCCGTTCATCAACATTACATTCGCATTAATAATTTTGAATATCTCCATATTTGTGTATGTACAAACCTTCGAAATATTATTTTTATATTATTCTAATTTTATTTTATATATACATAATACTTTTAAAAAATTTTAAAAAAAAAAGATGTATTATTAAATTATTAGATCTAATGTAAAATAAAAATAAAATTATACCCTGCCTTATCCCATATCATCCTTCATTTATGAATTAACATTAGTTTAAAATATCACGACAACATTTCCTCAATTTTTTCGGTATAATATAAACATCCTTTTTTTATTTTATATTAATTTGTTTAAAGTTGTAAAAAAAAACTAAAAAATATATCATGAAGAAGAATAAAAAAAAATTTCTAAAATTGGATTCCTAAAACGAAATAATAGTTTAAATTTAAAAATGTTTATTTGTATGTTTTACAAATTTAAAATATTTTTTATTTGATTCATTTTAAGTTAATAGCTGGTTTTCATAAGTGGTGGATATAACATATAGTACTTAAACATCTCTTCTAATAAATGTTAGCATCTTTTATTTTGTTCACTTACAGATAAAATTTAAAGTTGTTAAAAACATTTATTTAGCATTTATTAACAAATCCAAATATGTCTACCTGCTTTAAATATTTTTATTTTAGGTTAACATTTAAAAAAAAAAATTTATATTAACATTTAATATTATTTTTTAAAGGAATTGAAATATAAGTTTTTTTTTTTTATTCGATTAAAATATTTTCTAATTTTTAATGTTCTTATAATATACAAATATGTTTAAAAGAAATTATTATAAATTGCCTCTTTTAGTTTTAGCTGTCAGAAGGTTATAATTAATTTAATAATTTATATAAGTATTATTATGTTATTTAACAATCTACGAGAAATGAAAATCATGCAGTTAATATAAAATTCCTATGAGGATTCTTAACTCACATTATTTTGTTTTTTAATATCATGATTCTAACTCAAAAGTTTAAACAATGATAATTTTAGTTAATTAATATAAATTTTTTATTTTTTTTATGTATTGAAGGTTTTTCCCCATTAATTTTAAATATAATATTTGATAACATGTGATGAGTTATATTTTCATCCTCTATAAACTTATCTTTCTCGTCTTCCTTTTCCTCTTCTCATACCTAACTTATAATAAAACTAAGATTTTTTTTTCACTTAATATATATATATATCAGAGATCTGCCAGGCCAGTCCCTAATTTTTTTTAATCTTACCCGTGCCGGGCCTGAAAATTTGTTTTACATAAAAAAAACTGGCCAGGCCTATCCAAAAGAATTTCTGAAAAATAAATCCGGGCCAAGCCGGGCTTTACAAATAGGACCTCTTTCAGCGCAAACTTCATTACTAGGTTTTTTTTTTAAAGCGAATTTTAAAATTTAAATTGTATATAGAACGAGTTATATAATTGGGAAAGACTTTATTTTTGTAGGAATTGAATTTCAGTATGCGT